GCAAAGGGACTTAGACAAGATGCCGAGATCTCTTGCTCAGTTTGTTTGCGCGCATTGGGCAGCTAGGCCCTCTTGACACAGCATATATGCTTTGTAAAGGTGCACCATCCCTGATCCCCCTAATGACGAAAGCAATGAGTTAAGTGGAGGCAAAGCTGTGCTGGCTCAAGCTAGTCCGTGGTCCACGAAATCTGGTGCAAGTCGATGGCCCAATGGCGACCCCTAGTGTCTCCAGTCTCAATACTTCGGGAGAAAGTGAAATGGCTATGGATTGTCACTTAGTGCTCACGACTCTGTCTGGCACAGTAGTGGAGATGTCCTCTAGCGTTGCTCAATATGACAGATTTGAAGACTTTGAAGAGCACGTTGTTGATTACCTTGCCTGGGCTACTGATCTAGATGTATTTGGATGTGCACTGGACTTCATACATCCAACCATGCAAACCTATCTAGACGACCCCATTTGGGAGACTTTGCAGAATATCAAGCAGTATACCATAGTGTTTCGGGATTGTTTCGAAGCTTTTCATACAAAAGAGGCCTTCGATGGCTGCCCACATCGGGACATCCCCAAAGCTGTCAAAGTCCCAGCCAACCAATCGGGGATTATTCCATCCAGCGCTTTCATAGCAGTGCCAAAACTACGACATGTTAGCATTGAGGCAGGCATACGCGCTGTTGGAGCTCATGCCTGGCAAAGCTGTCGTCATCTCCGGATTGTCAAGATGCCGAGTACTGTCGTGCGTATTGAAGAGAACACCTTTCGAGGGTGCCACTTGCTTAATAGTATAACAGTGCCAGGCTGCGCTGAGTTTGGATACAAAGCCTTTGCCGACTGCTGCTCCTTACAGTGGATCCATGCTAATGGAGGTGGAGCCAACCATATGGGAAGTGCAACTAAGCTTGGGCACTATCTTTTTGTAGACTGCATCAACTTGACTACCTTCACCATCCAGGAAGACGGCCACAACCCGGACTTGCCGAATCAAGAGCAGCGTAGGGAACTACCGACAGGATGTTTCTGCTCCACAGGGTTAAAAGAACTCGAATTGCCTCGTGACTTCCATGAGCTAGGAGCCCATGCCTGTGACAATTGTAAATTGCTCACTCAGGTAGACATTTCGAACACCAGCATTGCTGAAATTCGAGAGTTTACCTTTGTGCATTGTGTCAGGCTTAGAGATGTACGCCTGCCATACACGGTACACACAATCCACGTGAAAGCTTTTATGAACTGTGCGGCATTGCAAGGGCTTGCCATCCCACCCTCACTGCACTATATCGCCAGCAGGGCGTTCCTCGATTGCAGCGTATTTAGAAGGCTCACGAAGCTACCAGGCCAAAGAACCACATGGCGTGGGACATATGCTGAAGAGAATGCCTTCGCGCTCTGCCCAGCTATGCGGTGGCCGCAGTGGCTGCACATGATTCCAGACATGGGCTATGCGCCGGAGTTGGCTTAGGCCCACTGATCCATGTTGAGAAGTCATTATAGATGAATTCGATCGTTGGATACATATCAGAGTGACTTATACAAGTATACCAACCGAACTCCATTGACCAATTGGAACAGCCCTGGGGACGACACGCATTCGAGGGATGCCCCATTGCTCACCCTCATGCCCACCATACTACCACATGGGAGCAATTACCTCGACGGCTGTTGCCAGCCTCCATGAAGCGATAACGCCCAACCGGAGCTGACAAAACTTCCTGCCAACAGTGTCCCTCGTGTTCGATGCAAATGAGCTGACCCGGTTGCGAGCCTCAGCTCCTGGCCGGTGTTTGGCACGCGTCGGTAGAGCAGTAGACGATTGGCGCCCAGGTGAGAACCTTAGTTCCTCGCCTGGCGTGAGTCTGTACTCAGCCAATCTTGTACAAAGTGGACACAAAGTACCATGCTAGGTTTTTCAATGTTTCACTAAGTTTCACAAGGGCCATGCATGAAAGTGGATAGTGGATTATGAATGACAGTTCTATCCATCCTATTTTGCGCACTCGCACACCTTCCACGCTCCTCTTGCCACTTTTGTTAAGGAGCCTGCTGGATGTGTGTGCGTCCCCTCCCTCTGCTGAGGGAGGTCTGGAGGGTGCAGTCTGTAGCCTTCGCATGCAATGTCCAACACTGCAATTGCCCACTGCCGGCCACAGTCGCCTCAGTTTGTGCAACTGTGTGTAATAGTTGTGCCCGACGCAGGCTGTTTTCCAAGGCCTGAAAGCATTGCAATCGACAAAGATCAGGACTGCTGCAGCCAGTAAGCACCAGCAAACGCTGTCAACCAATCGAAATTGGCTGGGACGTGGCCTTCATGGTTTGCAGTATGCCAATACCCCATCGCATTGGATGTAAGAACAGCAGATGACTGGCAGATTTCGAGAATTCAAGGCCCGATTAGTTAGATGGACATTCTTTCATGTTTCACTTGTTTCACTTTTGAGTACAGCGCGAAACTCTGCTAGTTTGGTTTGGGGGTTGTTCGTTTTGGTTCTGTTTGGGGGGGTTTGTTTTGGTGGTTTTGTTGTGCTTTTGGCTGTTTCCCTCACATACATGCAGAGTTTCCACCCTTATCTTGATGACCTGTGCACACCGCACACATGGCGTCCGAACTCGTGCAAAAAAAAGCAGGCCTTGGGCCACGGGCCGACCCACTGCTCGAACAGCTTGGTGGAGCACTTCCATGTTGCTCCACAGCCCCGCGGGTTGCGCTCGATGGGCGAAAGAAATTTGCGGTGGTAGCAATCTCATCTCGCACCTGGAATGGCCCGGATCGACCGTGCGTTTTCAACATATCTTAACGGAAGCGCCACAAAAATGCATCGACGAGCGGCCCCTATTTTGGGACGGAATCTGGCCCCCAAAACGGGGGCCATGAGGCAACGAAATAGCAAAGCAAAGTGACGTTCAAGTTAACCCCCACTTTGGGGGTCAGATTCCGTCCCCCAAAATAGGGGCCGCTCGTTGACGCATTTTTGTCGCGCTTCCGTTAAAAAATGTTGAAAACGCACGGTCGATCCGAGCCATTCCAGGTGCGAGATCACAGCCGTCAGAGACCGAGTATGAGACAGACAACGAGAAGGTTGAAATGCAATGGAAGATCATCCAGCTCGAGGCAGCGTATGCAGAACAAGAAAAGCAAACAAACAAATTGAAAGACGAGAGAGACATGTTGATGCAGCAATCATTGGATAATCAGGAGTTTTCGTGCACAAGATGTACTGAGGGAACAGTATGTGCAGTTGTTGCGTCAGAAGGAGATGCTGGTCGCAAATCCAAGCGAGAAAGTCCAATCAACGATAAGGGTGGTGACAGCATCCACTGGTTTTCCAATCATGGAGCCACCATCATTAGCACATAATTGAAGACACACATGAGGTATCGCACGCGTCTAGGCGCGAACTGAGACGCTGAAAACGAACGCCACTGGCCTTCAAAGGCTGTTATTTTGTTGCGTGTTGCACAGTTTCCCCCACGGTTTGCTGTCTGGTGACAGGACGGAGTTGTAACTCTTGTTGCACGACCTTTCAATATGTCAATAAGTGTAGATGGTGTGTTTTTCCCAAATCCCTCCTTGGTGAAAGCCGGGGCGTTGAACATTTGATGACTGCGCATGCCTGACGCAGTGGCTCAAGAGGATGTGAAAAAGGAACACTGAGGCAACTGAGCAGTTGGCGCACGAGGACGCTGCGCACTTTGTTGGGCAACAACGCTACAGATGCTTGATCGCAGTATGTGTGAGTGTTCAAAGCATATGAGTTGTACGACTTGGTGAGAGCAGAAACATGTGCTTGAAGATTGGGGCTTTGGTTGTCAAAACATCGTTTCGTTTTGGAAGGACCCCCCAAAGCTGGTCAGAGTCGATCTATACTTTGCCATAGGGTGGTTGTGTGCGCGAACAAACACTGAGAAAACGTGGGCAAGATACCAGAACTTTAATTAGCAACAGCTCGGTGGGTTGGTCTACACATCCAGGCAATCACCAATGTTGATCCGTGACCCTCAAAGGCGTTTGTTGGAATGGACAGCCGGGGAAGTTTGGACATGTGTTGGGTGGCAATCAAAGCAAAACAACGAGTCCTTTGATGGCAGCTGGCTTGAATGGGGACAAAGCCGATCAAAGCCGGGAACTGAAAATCTTGATTCCCACAAGCATGTGGATGGCATGTGTACAGTGAATTGTATCAATTGTATCCCACAGTGCAGTTTTTTGGTGTGAGATTATTTCAATCGGACACAATTCGTTGTGGGTCGATTCTTTAGGTTCTTATGCCGTAGGGTGGGGGCCTCATTGTTGCTTCCGCTTGCTTTCGTGATTGGGTTGTTTTTGAAAACAGATCGGCTACCAGCAAGAAACATATTTTTTGACGACCGATGATTGTGAGGTTTGACGATGACTATGATGAATCATCCAGTCAAGCTGAGGACGCGATCAAACCAACGGCAGTGCTCATGTGTTTTCAACAACATTGGAGTGAACAATTTATTGTCCAATGTTGTTTTAACATTTTCCAGTTTCATTTTTTAGACCTTGGTTGACATAGTTGCTTCAAACAAGTCTCGCTGATATTTTTTGCGTTCATGTGTAGATGTTCACATGTTGGGTTGCTAGTGTTTTTACCTTTGTGTACTGTATGTGCGGCATGTTTGGTTTGCAATGTTTCACAAACCTTGTGCCAGGAGCTTGAACTCGAAAGAAAAGATGTGTGGTGGCCGCGGTCAACAGCAACGGTGCCGACGGGCATGGTAAGCAAGTCTACAAAGACGCAATGCAGAGACATGCTTTGTGTTTTGTTGGCCAACTTCTTTTGTTTTCAGACGATCCGGCATGCAGGTGCTGTCTCATGTATGCCTTTTGGACAGCTAATTCACCACAAATCTTCCGATACGACCGCGTGGTGCGCTTGCAAAATTGCGATGGCTGATGGCTCGAGGTCTCCAGGTAGTATCTTAGTACATATCCGCTTGAAACCTTCTGCGCCACCTGTCACTAAAGTGACCTTCAATGCGGGAGTCATGCAATCCACGGCACAAACTTGGAGGATTTGATCCGCTTGAGACGGATGGAAAATTGATTTTGCCCTTCTTGAGCTCGCCTGCGGTACTCCATTTGTGCCGCAGTACGCTTCACTACGTCTTGCGTACGCTTGGTACATGGCTTGTTACCTTTGTGTTTCACGTGCCGTTGCAAGGTGTGCGCCTCAGCACCTTTTTCGCACGACTGGCTCTATACATTATATTCTTGTGGCCGGCCATGTTGTGCGGACTTATTTACTGGGCTTTTGCAGGCAAAGACATTTTCAGTGTCAGCTACAAGGACTCATGTGGAATCGAATGTTGGGCTGCAGTGCTTTTGAACTTATCACGCGTGGCCGTTGGAAGTTGCAAACTTTTCAGAGTAATAACAGGTGTTGCAGACATGATAGACACGTTGTGTAGTGTAGCTTGAAAGTTGATTCCTTGACAATTAGATTTCCACAGACATACTTTGGATGTGGTTTCAAAGCACGATAAAGGACGCTGCTTTTGACCATGGAAACTCTACCACCGTATCTCGGGGTTGTGTGTATTTTGCTTGTCCCTTCCCTTCATATTAGGACAAAGGCAGCTTTCGTCACACTGTCGACATCTACTTGCCAAGCTCTACGGCAAAAGCTCGCCTTGGAGAGACTGCTAAAACTCCGGTCGCTGCACATGTCTAAAGAAAGAGTTTTAGGTGTTCTCTAAGTTCGATTTTTCTAATTGGGCTGTTCTGCACGTACTGGCGTGTCCTTATATATAGATGCTCAAGCCTTCAAGCTGAGGTTCTTATCTTGGTGGCTGGTGGTGCTTTCATCCTTGGCCACAAGGGCTATGTTACTATGCTATGCCGAGCTTTGCGAAGGGCAGGAATACTTTGTATTGCAGTTGACTACCGGTATTGGCCGCAGACAAACATTGATGGTATGGTGGATGATGTTGAGCATGCAATTAGCTGGTCCTTCAAGAACTGCTCACAGTATGGTGGTGATCCCAAGCGCATTGCGCCACTCTGATGCACGTGTGTGCATTCCACACCGGCTGCAGAACTATGTGTCAACAGCGTTATGGAATTCTGTGTTTTTGCACATTTGCATTGGTCCTTGATTCATGAACATGCACAGTTCGTGGGGAAAATGCATAATCATCATTCATATTTTTTGAGAATGGTTTTCAAGGGGTCGAATCTACTGAGATGGTCCACACGTTTCTAGTTTACGGTGTTTTCACCACAATGGCATACCAGTTTTCAAGGACTGCAAGAATCAAAACTTATCCCACAACAATCGCAACAAAGGTTTTTCTCAATCAGACCATCTTGATGCGAACGTTTTTCCAGTGCTTTAAACATTTCTTTGGAACAACCTTTATGGTCTATGAAATGAAGGTGAAATTCATGAAACGAAGAGGAAGATGAACGTCAAATCATGCATTTCCCCGTGCAACATGCACATTTTCATGACACGAAGATGAAGTATGAAACGGATATGAAGAGGAAGTTCATGAAAGGAATATATATGCAAGCCTCTTACTACTACTAGTAGCAAGAAGCTACTAGGGGCTCCTGGCCTTACTAGTAAGAGCAAGGACGCTACTGGGGGCTCCTGGCATCGCTACTAGGAGTTGACGTTGATGATCCAACCGAACGTCAATACCTCAGTCCCACTCTCCATCGGCAGCGGTAGACAGACCTCATGACTGTTGTCTGGTCACAAAAAGCAACGTTACAGTTATGTCAGTGAAAGGTTCTAAAAAGCAGGAGCCCGTGGCGCTGTTGATACCCAAAACTACTACAACCCTACCCACCAGTAACTGAAGAAGGGTCTGAGGCTCCTTCGATTCACTGTCATGAGAAAGGGCATGGCACTTTTTCTATCTACCATTCTATCATGTTCTCGCTCAGTTTGGAGTTGTGCTGAAAAGACGCCTTGCATTCCGGCAGGGTGCGTCTCTTCCCTGAGGTTGCGGTGTTGAGCGCTCACTGTAACTCTTTCTCGGGGTTTGCACTGAGTTGCAGAGTTGATGTTGAAGTGAGGACCATATAGTTTGTTTTTCTTTGGCATTGAACCGTGTAGTTGGCCCACGGCGGATAGACGGCCGTGGGCATTTCTTACATTATTTTTGACATTTTGTTTTCTACAGTACTACGTGTGGAATTCTTTTTGGGGGTGGGGGGTGTTAGGTGGGGGGGGGTGGGGCTAATTAGCACACCTGTGGCGTAGCATGTTATATATCTATTTCAGTCTATTTTCTTGCGGGTTACATTCGGACGAGGTACCCCTGGTTCCACTTTCTTTCTTCGACGCTACACAATACTAGTACTCGTGCTGTGTTGCGCATACATGTTTACTTGCACACCTGCGTGTTTAAAACCCGTCTGGATTTATTCATATCTAACCCGTCTGGTATGTGTTTGGTCCTTCATCTGGATGCAGTTTTGTTGCTCATATGGCGGAATTTCCTTTGTTTCCGCTTTAGGTTTGGCTTTTCTTTTGTTGTCGAGGTTATGGGGTTGGACAGGGGTGGATCAGCTCCCCGAATCCTTACAAGCGTGGTTTGAGGTAGATCCGTGGTATCTTAATAGTTTGTTGAAAACCTGGGGTGAAAGTTCCACCGCTGATCCGGTGCTTCTTGAAGTGTGGCAAATAGCTCTGCAGCAAGATCGGTGGCCTGTATGCTTTCAGGCACGTCATGACAATTACCTGATACTTCTGTACATATCACTATATTCAATGCTGATAAATATATGACTAATACTCACTAATTTCATGAGTGTATATGATTCCAACCGCTTGGAGCAGCTCCTGTGAAGAGTGAAAAAGTCGCACACATGTATGACGGCAAAGATAGTTGCGTAGTTTCGAAAATGCTTCGAAGTCGCCATTTCGCCTCAACGAAACTCTGATTAAATCTGCATGGAATTCACAATGATTCCCATGATGAAGCGTCGCTCACATCATTCCTAATGGAATTAGGCATATTTAAGATGGATTACCCCACGACCATCCTTCATCACCCCACGGCCGTCTATCCGCCGTGCACCTAGTGTAGTTTGTCTTCAGGAGTTGAAGCATAATCATAGCACCTATACTTTGTGTTTCGCAAAGTTAGAAACTGCATGATGGCATGCGCTGCGGAGCAAAACTCCTTGACTTAGCAGACTAAGCAGAACCATACTTCCGTTTCTAAGAAAAATATGTATATAGGTGGACAGCATGTTTCGTCAATCCACTGTGGATTTGTCTTGGCCTTTGCAAATGCACCCTCCTTACCTTTGTTTTTGTAAGTTTTGTATTCATCTAAGTCAAAGTCGTGTCTGTCTATTGTTCACCCATACATGTGTCCGTTCTTCCCTGTCGCCGTCCGACTCTTTGTCTCTCAGTCTAATCATATGAGCGCTCAGATATTCGTCTAATCATACAGTGGCTTTATGCATAGGTGCCTACCATGACAGAATCTCAATTGCGCAGCAAGGCTGCTGGGACTTTCGTCTGGAGCACATGTGGCTGGATTGCTGTTGACACGTCGGGCAGCTGTTCGTCCAGGCCAAGCGTGTGTTGAATGGCTTCAAGAATAAATAGACACCCTGAGCCCACAGCTTCAGCAGCCACAATTGATTTCCATCCCACTATTTTTAGGTTTTCCAGTTTAGACCCAGACAAAGCTTTGGGTGTGCTAAGTAAATGAGGCAGAAAGGCAAGCAGAAGAAGAACACATACTGTCGCAGTCCAATAAGGCTCCCATGTCACACCTGCCACCAAGAGAAGACATCCAACACCAGCTTGCAAACGTAGGATCCAAGACATCCTGGTCAACTTCAGACTTGGTGGGTTTCATTGGCTTGGGCGGCATTTATGAGTTGCACAGTCGCTTCATGGCACATTTGCACAATAAAGGAATTGACTTCTTTTTGCAGCGCCTCGTGCTTGGAGACACACAATCCCTGAGAGAGTCCCGCTCTCCAAGCATCCTGCTTCGCAGAGATGGTTCCAGGCTTGGAAAGCATTTGCCACCGGTTCTACTCGTTCATGGCACTGGTGACAAGATCGTCCCCACAGAACAATCAGAGGTCTTTTGCAACGAGCTCACCAAATCAGGTGTACGTGCAAGGCTTCTTTTTCACAAAGGGCAGGGTCACAACGATCCGGTGATACACAGCCCGCTAATGAGCAACCACGAAACTGTTCAAGCCATCATTCTCTCAATCCATGAGTGGACTTCGAAGTCTTCAGGGAACAAAGTGTCGGAGGCACTCTTGAAGTCTTCTGTGCCAGATACCTGCAAAGCTTGCCTTGCAGATTTGCCGACATGGCCTAGAACTCCAGAGGCTGTCCAGACCTCAGTTTTCCTGAGCACAGTAGACACTGTCTTCTGTGCCATCACTCAGAGGCTTCTCCTCTGTCAACGTCCTGTTCTACACTTTCGAAGCCATCGTCATGTCAGCTGAGGTAATCCACATTGCTCGGTTGCTGACGCCATTCTAGTGCTCAGTCTTTTGAATTGGCCAACCACCGACAGCTGAGACAAATGTTCAATTGAGCAAAAGCTGGCTCCAGCAATTGCATAGTTTTCAATCAAGAAGTGCCAAGCATAGTTCTTCACACTAGAAGGCCAGACTGTCCGCGCATTTGTTCTTTGTGTGTGCGCAGTCTATGCGTGCCAAGATTTGAAATGTTCTCTTATGCTCAATGACTTGGCAGACTGATTAGAGCTCCAAGAGCTACGTAATTCGGCATTCCGCTAAGCTTCGCTCAGCTTCGCTCTATAGCGTCGCTCCAATCTAGACCGTTTAGACGTGTCTTTCCACTTGCGAAGCTGGTGATTTCCGCTTTTTCGTGACGATCTGGAATCAAGAGTGAGTGGAACAGCTGCAATCTTACAAGATGCTGTTGAGGCAAGAGGAAACTATTCTACTCGATAGTCTGAGAAGTGCAACAGCATGTTTTTTGGTTTCAGTCTTGCATGTGAGCCATTGCACAGTGCCAGGCCAATGCCCAGAGAACGCAAGCCAAAGTTAATTTCGATCCTTTGCCCAGAGCTGGCACGATGGGTCAGGCTCTTGAGCTTGTCGAGCTGGAAATTGCTTGCAATGTGTGCTTGCTTGCACTTCCTTCTACAGTGCACTCCTTGTACATCACTTCAAGCGTTTTAGTGTTTTGGTGAGGTCTGAGATAGGGGCTGCGGCTTTGTCGAAATTTGATACATAAAGCCAGCAGCATTTCGAGCCTACATTGTCCATAAATTTCTCTCCAAGGTCATGCTGCCCAGAACTCTGCACTCCAAAGCGAGCGAAAGGCCAGCTGTTGTCGCCTTTTGTAACAGCATCGGGCAAGATCACTCTCTCCATTGATTCTTAGATACTTTTGTATCTTTCCAAGGCGGCAGCCTTTAGAAATTTGGGCCTGACACAAGACTCACGGGTGAGCACCTGAGCCTTTTGCAAGTTTCCTTTACAGTGCTTTTTATCGCTGACGAATGCTTTGTTTGGCTGAGGCCACCGTGGAGCAAGTCCTGGACCCACGAACCATGGCAGTCCTTGGAAAGTTCCTCAAGCGTGGGCTTTTTGCCAGGTCCTTAGCATGGAGAGTTCTAGACACTCCACACAAAGTGCAACAAGTTTGTAGATTGTAAAGCTGAGCTGACTGGCTTGTGCACGAATCCTACGTGAGTAACAACGTATCAGCTTTACCACTAATTAGTCACTACTGCTTTTAAGGACGAGATCCATGGGTGCATCAGCACTGGCAAAGAGGCCAACGCTGGATGCTTAGCTTGGATCAAGTGAATGATGATGGGCTTGTCGACACACCTCATATAGGTATATTATGCCACCGCTACTGGTGGTGTGGAGCGTGCTGTCAAGGCACCCCTTTTTGTCACGCTCGATGGCTCGATGTCAGGTGTTGCAGTCAATGGTAGGTTTGGTTTAGTGTGTTTATTTTGTTCCTCTCCCTTGTTATAGTTCTCTAGTTCTGTGTACCTTGCTGGCCACATTCGGAAATCTTCACTCTATCTTTGAGGACGGGACTCAGTTCTTGAAAGTTGCGAAAGTATTTTTGACTCTGATGGGCCTCAATCAAAAGGTGACTGATTACAAGCTGACGGGTATGCTTTTCTTTTTGTGGTTTGAGTTATGCAAGGGATTCCACTGAAGCGGTGGAGTCATGCACAAATTACTGTCGAAATCTTTGGAACCAAATTTCTTCACTTATTGGAGGAGTTACCTCCGAGTTTGATTAAATTACATTGCTAGTTTTTGGTCGAACACTTGGTTTGATGCAGCCGACGACCGTTGTCTAGCTAGACTACTAGATGAGGCTCAGAATGACTCTGTTGCTGGATGCAATTGGACGTGGATGTGGGCCAAGCATGGACATTGCAAAATCTGATCCCAAAAAGGCATGTATGTTGGGTCTGTCCTATTAGCTGTAACAGTCGGTAAACAATTATCACTATTTTAGAGAAAGGCCTCTACTAACCATCATCATCCACTGTTACTGGTAGCCCGGGATCAAGAGACTTACCAGCTAGTCGGGCGGTTTCATTCGGATCCTCTTGATGTGCCATGGAAAGCTCTGGAAGAATCGATGAGGATTTCTTTCAGGGTAGAAGAGTCAAATTGTTCTGCTCTTATTTTGATGATGGGATTTGTCGAGCCTGCACCATGGACAAAGCGCTTCCCAAGATGACGCTGAAGGTGGCTTTTGTGAAGGGCGTTGAGGCCATCCTGCCTGTCGGAACCACCTTCATTCTGGAGAATTTTGCATTGTCATTGGAAGAGACCCCTATCATTTCAGGTTCATTGACCGAAGGTCCTTTGCTGCCGCTTGTCTTGCCGAAGCCTGCTGACAGAGGCATTGCGGAGATCTTCTCGGGCATGGGAGGGTGGGGTATGGCCACCGAGGCCTTTGGTGCTCAGGCCTTGGTGAGCCTTGAAAAGGATCATGCCACTGCCAAGTGTCACGCCCAGAATGCCATGATCCCGACCCTGGAGACTGACGAAGCTATCGCCCTTGGGCTTGCGGGTGAACTGCCGGTCCGGTTCATCCTGGTGGGTGATGTTTTTGACAGTCGTTGTTGGGCAGTGATGTCATGGAAAAGGATTGCATACTATTTTGCTTCGCCCCCGTGTCAGAGCTGGAGTGGAGCCGGATGGCAACAGGGTTTAGAGTCTGTGAACGGCCAAGCAATGGAAGTTTGTGTTGAGCGCACCACTTTGTTGCAAGCCAGGTCATTGACAATGGAGAACGTCCCCTCCATTCAGACTCATCCAGACCTTCAGCATGTAAAGAAGTTGATACAGCAGTGCAATTATGTCATCGGCCATGAAGGCATTGACGAGATCTACCCAGTCTTGCCTATCAAGCGCAAGCGTTGGTTGTTGACCATATTGCCAAAGGGGAAGACCATTGACCTGGCGACAATAGAATATGCTAAGCAAGCCAAATTCCCCTCCTGCTTACCAGTTTTTGGTGCTCGGAATTCCTTGGCCTTAGCGCGAGCATTCAATGACCATGTCCTTCCATGGGAGCAGGAGGCCTTGAAGCCTTCAGCTGATGCGATGGAGCTGGCAAAAGATCGATCGCTGCTGCCGAAACACATGATGAATGGACCAGCCATTTCCTCACAAGACGATGTGCTTAAGAGGAGGACCATAGGGCAATGGGAACCGGTGCCTTCCCTGATGTCATGTTACGGGGGTCAACATGAACTGCCACGTGACCTGTTGAAGCACCATGGCCTTCATTCATGGTTTCTCAAAGATGGTGATCACATTCGCTATCTCTCCCCATTTGAGGGTGCATTCGCCCTTGGATTCAGTTGGAAGTTGATTTTGCCAGCCGATTTTCGATCTGCGCACCGGTTGATTGGGAATGCCATTTCATTTGCCCACTCCACGTTGCAGGTTTGGAGAACCCATCTCCTGTTAGGTCAGGACTCGCCGTTTCGTACCGATGTCCTCTGCATTGCAGATTTGGTTGAGTTGATTTTCGATCGCGCCGGCAGGTTTGGTGACAATGTTGTTGTCAGGGATGGGAACTTTGCCCATCTCGCTTTCCCAGGTGCTGCTGAACGGAAACGATCTCAGACTGATGATGAGGACTCCCCAGAGGACTCCCAAGCCAAGAGAGCCCGAAGTGAGGACATCTCACCAACTGTGCCTTTCGAGGTGGTAGGTATGGACCCGTGCGAGGTGGACCTTGCCATGCCATATCTCAAGCCCAAGGACTTGCAGCGTGTCTCAGTGGCCGCAAGGCTTTATACGCAGCCGCTCGACCAAGGTGCCTTCGAAGAAGGGTCTCAGGAACTCTTGCCGGTTGAACACCTCAATTCCTGGGAACAGGGTAGATTGGTTCAAGTTGCAAACATGGTCCCTTGCCAATTGCTCCATGAACAGAAGATTTGGACCGAGTTTGTCTGGTTGCCAAAGGACACCAACATTGGTTTTGCCATTCAACAGGCCTTGCCACATGCCTTGGAGTGTCATTTCCAGATCATCCAACATGATATTGCTGAAGTTGGGTTCCATGATCGGGTCAACCCAGAACAGCCGTGCACCATCTTCCTGGACACAGTCAAGATTGATCGGTTGGTTTCGCCCGCCTTCACTCAGGATAGCCTTTTGGTTTCCGTCGATGTCTGTTGGAAATTCTCCGATCTTATTGCTTATGTCGCGTCTCAATGCGGTGTACTGCCAAGTAAGGTTGTCATCCTTGATGATCATGCACCCATGCCGGAGTCTGCATTTGTATTGCAACAATTGAGCACTTCGTTTAAGGCAGCCCTGGTCACCAATCCATTGGATACCAGACAGCTCATGCCAAAGAAGTTTTGTGATTTTGCAAATACCAAGGAGGTCACTGTAGCCGGTGTAAAGGTCACCAATCCGATGCATTCTGACAATGCGGTCCCTGCCGATTCGGCCGCTGTTCGTTTTGCTGCCAGGAACCCAAATTGGGGCTCTATTCGATCAGTTGCCGTCAACAAACAGGAGCCGGTTGGGAAGTTGGTTCAAACCCTGTTTCCAGACTTCCGTGACCCTGTCCCAAATGTCACAGCTGAAAGTGCTATCATCGATCCGACCGATACAGTGGAGACATTGATTGCAAAGACCAAATTGGAGGTTCATTTCGAAGGGTTCAAGCCTTGGCCTGTCACCGATTTGGAATTCCTTTTGCCTTTTGGTCCACCATCAACCAATGATCCTGCCTGCCTCATGCAACTGTGGGTGCAAGGTCCTTTCGATTATCGCGCCAAGCGTGTTCAAGTGGACAAAGAATGGACGCTCACCAAGTTGGCTGCATCCTATCAAGTTCTGCATCGTAGCAATCTGACCATGATTGTCCTACAGCATGGCAAGCCATTGGATCCACGCCAACAGATTCAGCATGTTTGCAGTAAGCATGAGATACAAATTAGGGTTTGTGCCTTGCCAGGAGGAGCCAAGTCTGAGGATCTTGTGAAGTTTCTAGAGCCGCTCCTG